TTAAAAAAAAAAATGAGCACCATCACAAAAAAGTTTAATGAAATATATTAAGGTTATGTTTAGTAATAGACATCCAATCTGTGAGGTGGTTCAATACTTATGATATTTATACATGCAGAAACCCAACAACGACTACCGAATAGGCAACGTAGGGACAACCTGTAATTAAAGATTACTACGAATTTATAGTTCGCGACTAGATAGTAAGAACTATCCCCCGGTTATTTTATCAGTAAAATTTAGAGGCTGATATACCTATCCAGAAAGTTATTAAGTTAGGTCAAGGTATGCACATATTCCCCATAATAAAGCACTACTTTATTTTTGGTATTTTTTAGATTTTATCCGCAATCTCTCCCTTTGCAGAAAATTGTCTAAATACGTCTGTGCTTGGTCAAAGGTTCCATATAAAGGTCCCGTCATATTTACGTACTTTTAAGGTTTAAGAAGCATTTTATCACCGAAGTGGCTATAATGTTAAACATATGTTTACCGAACATTTTCGCTCTAGATGAATTTTTGGTATTCCAACGTGACTGTAATTTGGCATTTGGGATAAAAACTTCTTCCGAGAAAGTTTTCTGTATTTTTACTGAGACATAGTATCCATGTGATGTTCCTTTTTTTTACATTAATGCACACCACATGGTAAAGGGTACAAAAAGTTCGACATAACGAAAATGTAATTTATTATACCCTCCACCAAAGTATGGAGGGTATATTAGTTTTGTTTTTCCGTTTGTAACGCATCGAAATAATCATTTCCGACCCTATAAAGTACATATATTCTTGATCAGCGTAAAATTCTAAGACGATTTAAGCATGTCCGTCTGTCTGTTGTAATGACTCTAGCGTCTAAACGAATTGAGATATAGCCCCAAATTTTGCACAGGGTCGTCTTTTGTCTGCAGGCAGGTCAAGTTCGAAGATGGGCTATATCGGTCCACGTTTAGACATTGCTCCCATATAAGGGTACCCCCCAAATTTTCGGTATTTTTAGGTTCTTGAACGCGTTTTTCAACCAAATATGATTCAATTTGGTATTTTGTAGTCATATATGGTAACAAATCTCGCTACCAAAAATTATTAATATTCGCCCCCTTCTTGGGGTAGTCCCCATATAACCCCCCTTTTTTATATTAAAATAGATATCTGATTTGTTCCGCATTTTGTGTTTGGTTCTAAGACTCTGTTGTAATCATTTCTCCTGCGGATGACGTAAGGTTCGATAATGAACTATAGCCGCATTTAGACCTAGCCTCTGTGTAGAGGTTCCAGAAGGAGTGGACCGATATTCCCTATCTTTGAATTTGAACTAAGTTTCGAAGAAATAATAAGATGGGCAAAGTTTGGATTAAAACTAAAATTTTCTGAAACGGATTTGGTCCAAAGAAACATGGGGTCTAGAACCAATATTTCGATGAGGCATATTTTCAACGTGTGAAATTGTGTACACCCTTATTAGCCATAAGGCTGAGCGTATAATTATCCATTAAAAATTTTTGAAATTTGTATTATGGTTTACATAATCCCTTTTTAGAAATGTCGGTATAGGTCCACTTTTTGGTATGTTCCCCATATTTTCATTTCAAGTTCCTGCCAGTATATCTATGGCTTTTCCACTTGTTATACCCTTCACCACTCTGTGGTACAGGGTATTATGTCTTTGTGCATATTTTTGTAACATGCAAAAGGAAACGAGATAGACACATGGTTCCTTTTGAGAATATCCATAGAATCACTTTCTGAGTCGATTTATGCATGTCCGTCCGTCCGTCTGTCTGTCGGTGTTAAATTGTAAACAAAGTACAGGTCCCGTTTATAATCCGAATTCGATGAAATTTGGCATAGGTCACTTATTTGGCCCAAGGACGAACCCTATTGGAATTGGGAAAAATCGGTTCAGATTTAGTTATAGCTCCCATATATATTTTCGTCCGATTTAATGTAAACGGTACCTATATATCTTTCGATTTGCACGAAATTTGGTACAGCGTAATGAATTAGGTCTAGAATAATGTGTGTCAAGTTTCCTGAAAATCGGTTCAGATTTGGATATAGCTCCCATATACATTTTCGTCCGATTTAAGGTAAATGGTGTACCAAAGTCCCTATATATCTTTCGATTTGCACGAAATTTGGCATAGCGTACTAAATTAAGTCTAGAATGATGTGCTAAATTTTCTGAAAATTGGTTGAGATTTAGATGTAGCTCCTATATATATTTTCTTCCGATTTTATGTAAATTGTGCACTAAAAACCCAAAGTTTATCCGATTATCACACAATTTTGTACATGGAACTGTAATTGATAAAAAAATGTACGCCGATTGACTCAAAACTTTGCACAACGTAGTGAAGTTAATATAACCTAGAGAGTGGAAAGATTCGATGAAATCGGTTCAGATTTCGATGTAGCTTTTGTATATATTTCTGTCCGATTTTAAGTAAATGGTGCATTAAATTGATTTACATAATTTTGTCCCATTGTAAGAAGAATCTCTATATCTGACCAAATGAAAAATTTATTGGTTGCAGAATGACATGTTTATGGATCCAATTTCATGTTAATGGTCCTTCAAAAATGCGACGTCTGTTATAATTCACCTGTTGAATAACCCAAAGTGGTGAAGGGTATCATATAGTCGGCCCAGCCCAACTTTACTACTTTCTTTACTGGTTTTTTCTTTAAAGTAGTATGCTGCGAGAAGGTATTAAAGACATTGTTGTTCCTTTAAGATTTTTTTTATTTTATCTTAACGCCTTTAATTTAATTAAATTTCAGAGTTTGTATTAAAAACAAGTAGCTCATCCATTGTGTCTTTGTAATAATACATCATTGTCTGGTCCTTTTATTATAATGAACTTTCTCAACAAATTACTGATGTCAATGAAGTCACACCAAACAAAAACACGGAATTACACAACTTTTTCCTTTAAATGGCTGTTTTCGTTATTTAATCTTTTTATGGTGTACTACGAGAAAAAAAATAATGAAAGAAAAGTATAAAGTGTTAGTTATGCACAAGAAATGAATGGAAATGACATTTACATAGAAAAACAAGCACGGTAAGGGATGAATGAAGATACATCTCTTTATTGTTGTTTTTTTTTTTATAAATAATTTTAAGGTTTTACAACAACATATTGAAAGTGTTACACAAAAACAATATACATGATAAAACAGGATGTATGGGTAAGGAATTAAGCAATATATATCAATTTATCATCGCACAACTGCACAACTTTGTTTAAAGGGTGTTATAAATGTGTGTGGGATCAAGAGTGTGTATGCCGATCGTCATATTTCGACTAGTTGAGTCAATCTAGCTATGGCAAAAATGGAATGGCAAAATCACGTTTTTTTTGCCATAAATGTTTAAATAGTTTGTACTCGAATGAATTGTTGAAGATTTTTGTGGCATTGTAATCTAATTAGTGGAGGGGATGTTGTTTATTGCGATCATGAATAATGAAGATTGTATGAAGTACAGTAAAACTGAATCGGCAAATAGAATCAAAATCCATATTGGATACCTTGAATAGGGGAAATTCTAATATCATATGTGTATTATGGATCCTCTGATATTTATAATTGTTGGTAGAAATATTTACGATTTTCATACGGTATATCCAAAAGATAAAAAGAGTTAAATTGCTGTCTTACACATATAAAAATATTGTAATTAAGTTGCATGGTGTTTAAATCCTCCCATAAAATTAATATCAAATTACAGACATTAGCCCAGGACCATCCTAGATAACGATAATGGTCTATGTCAAAACAATTTCCTATGATGAAATTTTGTGTCAATATGTTTACCCACGTTGAATGTCAAAATACTAATGTAGTGGCTATGTAAAAATGGCTATGGCTATGTAAAATTTAAATTTGAAAATAAAAAGAAAATGATTTGTTCCAATATAATTCACTATTGGTAAAAAACAATTCGTAGTTTTAAAAGAAAGTGCTAATAATTGCAAATTGATTCTGAATATGTCATTTATGCAGAGGCATCAAGTACACGCAGAGAAAAAATATTTTTCACTATGGTTGCAGAAACCATAACTATTGTTGCCACAATTTTTATATGTTTGCAGCAAACATGTGAATTGCATATTTGAAAATACTATGATCCCTGCAACCATAATTTCCAAAATTTAAATCGAATTTTCGTAATATGATAAAAATAATTAACAATACCAATGGTCATGACAATCATGTTGTTAATAAATTTACAATAGATTTTGTAGAATTTTAAAATAATATTGTAAATTGTATCCGCTTGTGAGCTGAGCGTGTCAAAACATGTTAGTTTGATTGGAGAGTTCGAAGAAGTAATACGTGGGTAAAATTTAAGAGTGATATACTAGTGAACATTTAAAAGTAAAATGTATATAAAAATATAATAAATATTAAAGAGTCATAAAATAATGACACATGCTATCTATAAATACAATAAAAATAAAGTGAGTTTATTTCGCGTTCGCTTACAACTATTTTGAATGCGACTTTTTCTGATAAAGAAAAGTAAAAGTTCTATTTAATGGCAAAAAATAATAAAAGTACATATATTTACTAAGTCACTGTGATACAATTATCTTCAAGGAAAAGTAAAATTGAAAATGTATAAAACACGTGTTTTCAGAAAATTCAAAACATGTGCAATTTTTAATATATATTTGTTTAGTTCGAAAATACATATTTTCAATTTTAACAATATATGTTTTCAATTTTAACAAAATGTATTTTCAATTTTAACAATATATATGTTTTTAAATCTTCAAAAACAATATATATTTTCAAACTTAACAATACATATTTTCAAATTTAACAATATATGTTTTTAAACTAAGAATATATATTGTCCAATTTTAAAATATGTATTTTAAAATATTACAATATCTTCTTTTGGATTGAAAATATGTATTGTTAAAGTTTACAATATGTTGTGTTGAGTGTTGTGATCCCGTTATATTTCGGAGCATTTGCATTAGCTTCTGCATTTACTGCCTCTCGCTAGTTTTTGTTCGGCATTCAGAGAAGACGGATCACAAAAAAAGAAAAAATGAATTCACGTAAATTGTTGAAAACAACATTCCAAAACAAAAAAGAAATAGTTTCAGTGGTTTTTGATGGAATCAATGACTACGATCTGTTTATAAATAAAGGTAAAAGATGTATAAAAAGTGTTAATATTGTGAAATTCTAATTAATCATGCAGTGACTAATAAAAAATATTAAGTGAAAAACTCTATAAACAATTTAAAGAATTATGTTAATTATTTGTTTTATACATCTCATCAAAAAGTGCAATACTCAAAAAAAAAAAAAAAAAAAACAGAAAAAAATCAGGTGCGTCGCGCCGTTTTTTTTGTTTTTTTTTTGTTTGTTTTGTGTGAATCATCTCATCATGAAAAGGTTGGGTGGTTGAACACACAAAACAAACAAAGCATAGAGAGAAGTAAAGAGATTATCGTTTTGGAGAAAATGTTTTTAGTGCAAAATTGAAAGTGAATATTGGGAACATTGAAGGTTCATGGACATTGATGTGATTTTTAAAATTTACATATTTTTAATAAAATATTTAACCAACTTTATTTATTATAGTAAAGGAAACATATAATATTCCATCAACTGAAGAAGTTCAAATTTTTAACAAGAAATTTTTAATAAAACCAAACATATTCACCGATTTGGTGGAACAGTATCTATCGTCAACGGATTTTATATTGGACGTAAATTTAATAAGTGAGTATCCCCAAATTAAACATATATAAAGTTGTGGTCACGTAATTAGAAAATGAACTGTGGTAAACATTTTTTGAAGTGTTAAAAAAAAAAATAATTCTGAACTCTTAGATATACTAAACATTTTTCATTTGTAAACTATTTCAAAAAAAAAGCAGTAAAGTAAATATTTCCACGTTATTTTATAGAAACTGTTATTTATTAAAAAATTGCATAAAATAATTTTCTATTTTCACACTAAATCTCTTAAGTGCAGTATATCTAAGAGTTCAGAATTATATTTTTTTAAAAGATACTTCAAAAATGTTTACCACAGTACATGTTCTAATTACGTGACCACCACTGTATATGTATGTAAATATAATGTGTAATTTCTAAACTAATTTTCGTTGTAGACGATAATTCTTCTTATTCCACCTCGGATTCGAATGATGAATTGGAATCACAGGCTTCCAGTTCACAAAATATAATATTTGGAAGTACACAGCCTCAGGTTATCAGAACTTTAACATGTATAACCGATGATATTTTTAACCAAAGCCAGGGGAATATTTTTATTGACAAAAATGCTTATCCTTCTGTTCCATCAACGGAGGTATGTAAAATGTTTTCTTAATTTAAAATCTTTTCAGTCATTATTAACCTCTTTTTACTCCCGAAGGAAATAAAAGAATATCCTGAAATTAAGCAATTATTGCAATGTAATAGTCTGCAAAATAAGGATAGAACAATTATAGCAAAGAGTATAGTGTCAAATTTCCTGAGCCAAAATGTGAATAGACGGTATGTAAAACCTAAACACTTAACAATTTGTTTATATTCAGAGATTCTTTTTCAATTTGCAGTTTGTATAAAGATGATTTGTTACAACTTTCCCGATCAATAATAGAAGTATTTCCATCGGAAGTTGGAGAAACTTATTACGTACTCTTAACAAAGGGTAAATTGTTTGACGCATACAATAATAAGAGAACACAATTAAGTGCAGCAGGACTGATAAATAGACGTGAAAACTTGAAAAAGAAATGTGAGTATGCTTAAATATAAGAATATTTATATGTTTTGAATAACAATACGTTCTTTTAGCAAATCATACGCAATTGTCGGAAGATCACGAAACTGGCATATCAGCAGATGAATTGAAAATTCTTGAAACAACGAATGTAGATTGGAACAAAACAAGAGAACTTTGGATTAAATCTCATTCCTATCGACAAAACGAATTACAAAATAACGAGTTGAGTACTATTGACTATATACAAAAATACAACATTCATCTTAATGAGAACTTTCATGAATTGGTAAGTCTTTGAATTATTAATATTATGTAAATTTCGATTAATATTGTTCATATACTTCTCACCTAGCTTCAAATTGATTTCAAAATACTGTACCCAAATTCCAAAAGCATTTACCAATGGAAACAATTCTATGAAAAACTAATATTGAAAGCCGAACAATCAAAAGAGAATAGCGTTTTACAAATTTTAGCGAATATCGACAGAACTGAGGACGAAGGTATGTATGAATATAAGAATATGCTATACATGATCATCCACAATTTTTTTTACAATAGATTGCAAAATTGCTCTTTCGTTGATGATTATTCCATTTATTCTACCACACTACAGGAAGAACACCAAGTTAGAATCGCTGGAATCATTCATTTATTACTGCAAGGTCGGTTCATATATATACTTTTATTCCACAATACCTCATATATTAATAAAAAAAATGTATCATCCTAACAGAATATTCAAGTGGCAGATGACGAAACAAGAAACCGAATAAAACGACTAAAAAAGGATACTCAACCCAAAATTTATTTTGTTGGCGATACGACAAAACCAATTTCCATTGCATACGTGGATATATGTGGAAATCGTTTGAAATTTGAAAATCCTTTAAAAGCTGTTGAAGCCTGCTTTTACTCTTTTATGAGTATGAATATTAAATACCCAACTGCATGCCTACACGTATGGACATTTATACAATATATTATTTATGAAATTAACACTCCATGGGATACGACAATACCTGCTGTAAGTACCTTAATCAATGAACTTCGTATGGAAAATCTGGAATAGATTTGTTTGTTAGTTTCGAAGAGAATTATTTTATGTTCGCCTAAAAAAATGAATTATTTTATTATTATTTGATTATAGACTTTTATATATAAATTTATATGTACAAATGGATTATATTAAATGTTTTTGTTCATCTCATTTATTTATTTCAATTAATGATTTAATTCAACATATGAGAAGGCATCATAAACATATAACGTCAATATCTTGTTGTTTTCCTAATTGCAATCGCAGATACTATCGGTTTGATTCATATAAGTTTCATTTGCAAAGACATTTTCCTACAAATGTCTTAAATAACTCTTTGGATAGTTCATCAGACTACTCAAACATAAATAGTGAACCTTTAGGAAGTATTTTCCCCTTAGATACAAATATTGACGATAATAGTTCGCGATCTCAGATAGAATTAGTTACAAATATGAAAACTGATCTATTGAAACAAATTGTGAAAGCTTATTGTAATGAAAGTATTCCTCGAAATAAGTGTTTAGAAATTATAAGAAATGTTGCAAATGGTTTCTTAAAGTACCTGAAAATTCTAAGAAATAAATTAGTAGATAATGTAGTGGAACCTGAAATAATAGCGTTTCTTGAAGATATTATTAACAGTTGTATTATTAAATCAGAATATAAATTACTGAACGAATTTAAGAAAACAGGCTACTTTGTTGAAGCAAAATACGTTTTGCTACATCGTGAGCCTCAAGAGGTTTTAACTACAGGAGGACAAATTACTTTAAAAAATATTGACTACTCCATCGCAATATTATCATTGCAGTCTTTTTTCTTTATACTTTTTAATAAAACTAAATTTTTGACTGAAGTTGTATCTTACATAAGTTGTTTAAAACTACGTGATCCGAATGTTATATATAATTTTGTTCAAAGTAAGCTTTGGCGTGAGAAACTAAATTGTAATGACAAGTCAGATACATTGTTTTTACCCCTTTTCGTATATTTCGATGAATTTGAGCCAGATAACGCATTAGGTTCTCACGCTGGCTTTCAAAAACTTGGTGGGGTTTACATTAAAATTCCTTGTATTCCCGAATATCTTCAGTCAAAATTGTCTCATATGTTTGTTGGAATGCTATTATTTTCTGAAGATAGAAAAAAATTCGGTAACAAACGCGTATTTGAGGCATTTATAAATGAACTTAATAGTTTGCAAGAAATTGGAATAGATATTCATGAAGAAATCTCATTTGAAGGAAATCTTATAAAAAAATTAAATTAATTTCTTCTCTAATTTTGGGAGACAACCTTGGACTCAATACAATTCTTGGCTTTTCTGAAACATTTTCCAGCAATTTTTACTGTCGTTTTTGTAAACAGCATCGAGAAGTTAACAAAGTGGCAGTTTCTGAAAATAGTGAAATGTTACGAAATCCTCATAATTATAGTTCTGATGTAGGTCTTAATGATTTTAAGACCACCGGTATAAAAGAAAATTCTATTTGGAACAATTTAAAACAATTTCATGTAACAAGGAATTATAGTGTCGACGTTATGCATGATTTATTAGAAGGAGTATGTCATTACGTTTTAATTTTTATATTGACTCGTTTCATAAAGGATTACGAATTCTTTAGTATAGACCAACTAAATTATAGATTGTTAACTTTCAATTATGGTCCAATCAATAGCAGGAGCAAGCCACCTATACTGAGTCAAGATTTCCAGAAAAAAATTAAATTGAAATTATCTTCTTCTGAAACATTAGTTTTCGTAAGGTGCCTAAATTTAATTATAGGAGATTTAGTGCCTGATTGTCAAGAATGGTCGCTATTTTTGTTATTAAAAAAAATAGTTTTTATAGCATGTGAATCAGATTCATTTCAAACTGGTGTTCCCGAACATTTTCAACAGCTAGTGTGCGAACACAACGATTTGTACATGCAACTTACAAAATCAACATTGCAACCAAAATTTCATAACTTGTTACACTATGCAAATATTATGAAACAAATTGGACCTTTGAAACATATTTCTTCAATGATATTTGAATCTCTTCATAAGGAATTAAAAAAAATATGTAACAGCTCTAATAATAAAATTAATCTCCTGAAAACTATATACACAAAATATGAAGTTAAATTATTTGACTTTTTAATTAACTATTCAGATATTTTAGATGCTAAAATAGAATTAGGTCATTCTGTGGAAATGCCCAGCGATACTTTCCGAAAATATAATATTTTGTCTACAGTACCATTGCGTGTCTTATCCAATCTTCAATACAATGAAATTTATTTTAAACCTGGAATGGTTATTCAAATTGGAGAATATGATGATAACATTCCATTATTTGGACTCATTATTCATATTTGTTGTTTCGACGATAGTTTTTTCCTGTGCGTTCAAAGACTTTTAACACATGGATTTGATTCGCACTACCATGCTTTTAGAGTAGAATATGAAAATGTTTTTCTTTCTGTCAATTTATTATATTTAGAATCAAATTATACGGGATATATTTGTACATCCAAAGAAGACTGCTATTATATAAACTAAATGCTATTCCATTTTCGTAATATTAATAATTGTATACTATATGTTAGATTTAATATGTTAATTTATATTATTACCTGTAAAATTAAATAAAATTTGATTTATAAAACACTATCCAAGATGTTTTTAATAATATACATAATATTAAAAAGGTAGAGTATAAGAAATAGTTGGGGCAAACATATATATTGTAACTTTTTAAAATATATATTTTCAGGCCAAAAAAAAGTTTGGTAAAATCTTACCAATCAAATTATTGGGACTTTTTAAAAATATAAACAAGTAAATGTTTGGGGCAAACATATATATTGTAACTTTTTAAAAATATATATTTTCAGGCCAAAAAAAAGTTTGGTAAAGTCTTACCAATCAAATTATTGGGACAAACAAGTAAATGGTTGGGGAAAACATATATATTGTAACTTCTTAAAATATATATTTTCCGGCCAACAAAAAGTTTGGTAAAATCTTACCAATCAAATTATTGGGACAAACAAGTAAATGGTTGGGGCAAACATATATATTGTAACTTTTTAAAAATATATATTTTCAGTCCAAAAAAAAGTTTGGTAAAGTCTTACCAATCAAATTATTGGGACAAACAAATAAATGGTTGGGGAAAACATATATATTGTACCTTCTTAAAATATATATTTTCCGGCCAACAAAAAGTATAGTAAAATCTTATCAATCAAATGATGGGGACAAACATGTAAATGGTTGCCGAAAACATATATATTGTAACTTTTTAAAATATATATTTTCAGGCCAAGAAAACATTTGATAAAATCTTACCAATCAAATGATTGGGACAAACATGTTAATCGTTACGGAAAACATATATATTGTACCTTTTTAAAATATATATTTTCAGGCTAAAAGAACGTTTTATAAAATCTTACCAATCAAATGATTGGGACAACCATGAAACTGGTTGGGGCAAACATTTATATGTATACAGTTTACACAGCCTAACCAAAAACATGTTTGCAGCGACAATATTACATAATAGAATCCAACCATATATTTACCATATATATTTTGCTCTTCGAATATTGTTGGCTGAACCATATTTTTTTCTCTGCGTGTATTCATTGTAATACCTACTCCTATATTTACGCACTGCAAATTCCTATATTTACGCACTGCAAATTCCAGATCAATTGAACCACCATCAAAGCAGTTATTGAACGAGAGGCGGAAAACCGATAGCAAATGAAATTCAGTTTGGTTACGAATTTTGTTGTCTGTGTTATTTTTATCGATTGAATGTCGGCTTGCGCCATGTGGGTTAATTGGTTTTCCTGTCAGATGAGGCTTATGACAAAAAGTCGCTTTTCATACAGATGTAATAGTTGTATGCAAACGGTTGAGGCTTTACAGGATGATTTTGCACACTCACATATATGTACATGCAATTTACAAATACATACATTCTACTATACTATTGCAATCTTGGAAATTAAAATTAAATATTTAAATACTTCTTCCGGAATAGTTCTACTTCAAAAATGACTTTTTACAATAGCGTTCAAATTAAATATATAATGAAAAAAAAACACAAAAAAGCCAACTCATAATGTGCATTCCCAGGGCTCTGATTTCAGATTTTTTCCGAGCTTTCTAACCTTTTTTTTAGAATTTTGCCGATTTCTCTAAAATTTTCTTAGAAAGTGGAACAATTTTCTTTAAGATTTTTTTTACAATCTCTGCACATTTTCCTGTGCATTTTGCCGAAAATCGTATAAAATTCGGAAGAAAATATCCCAAACGGAGAGTAGACTCTCTATATTTGTGGTATATTCTCTCCCACATGAATGAATGGACTTTTTCTATTTGTCTGTGCATGAGTTGCATTCAAGTGTTAAAAAGTGTTTACAAATAAAAAGTGAATTTAAATTATGTAGAAGGTGTGACAATAAGAATTATGGATTATTGGTAAGACAAATAAAAATCAATACAAACTTCAAGATCTTATTCTATTTTTAAAATATTTTCTTTTTAAAATAGATATGGCGACGGCTGCAAAAGAAAGATGCACAATTTATTTAATTCGGCCAACAGTGTAAAACTTAAAGAAAAATCAGAATTGGAATACGCCTGTACAATTTTAATTATTAATTTATTGCTATTTTTAAATAATATATTTTTTTTTGCAAAAATGTCAATAAAGAAAAATTTTAAATAAATTTAAAGAAATAAAAAATGTCATTTTTTTATAGAAAATCTTACTTTTTAATCAGAATTCGGTCCGATTTCTGTAAGAAAATCTAAAGTTTCTTCCGAATTTCACAAGAATTGTCTTTCGAATTAGGTCTGATTTCTGTCAGAGTTTCTCCCGAATTTTACAAGAATTGCCTTCCGAATTTGGCCAGATTTTCTGACAGAAAATCGAATGTTTCTTTCGAATTTTACAAGAATTGTCTTCCGAATTCGGACCGATTTCTCTCAGAAAATGTAAATTTCCCTCAGAATTTTCTAATACTTTTTATCCGAAT